TACAAACACTATATAATGTTGCGATAGAGTCTTGATTATAAAACTAAAGCTTCATTTTATTTATATCGTAGATAACGCTACGTGATGCCTTTTATTAAGAAAATGCCTGCAATTGAGCATTTTAAGGCATTAGGATGTTCAAAACCGTCAAAAGCCCATAAGCTACAGTAAAATCTCTTTAGTACGATACGGTTTGCTCGGCCGAGCGTATCATAATACCAAGGGTATTATTATATTACATACTTATATATAAAATGCACCCAAAATCAAAATTAAGTAATAATATTATGTATCTACGCACGTAAAGTCGTAACTAAGCAATTGGCTATACTAAAATACATCGCAATCGATTGCTGCTTAGTGTTTTAAGGTCGTCAGCCTTAAATTTAACGCTTATACCTTAATAGGGTCATAATTACATCTCTATTAGAATCGCTTTGCTACTCCTTATAAAGACAAAGCTTTTATAAGGCTACAAGCGCCTTATTAAGCTTAATTTAAGGTTACTTAATAACCTCCTTATCTATTTCCGTATTATAATCGGGCCCTACGTAAAGCTCTGCTATGTGCTTAATAAGATCCTCTAATAAATCCTCTACTTCCTCACCTAGTAGCTTAATAAAATTCTAAATATTTATTACGGCGCGAATTCTTCCTGCTGTAAGCAGTTATTCTGCCATTTACTACATTTTATCAACCATAGGAGGATCTAGATAGTCTTAAGGGCGAGGCCGTAGGCCTATACAAGAGCTAAATAACGTAGATTTAATAAAGCAATTCTTAATTATTTATAGTGTAACTTCCTTCTAAGCTTTAATTAACTATTAAATTGCCTATAAAATATACATCTACTTAATTAGATCCTCATCTTAAAGCGAGAGCTCCACTATAAATCGCAGCTAGTATCGCCGGTAGAGCAGCTTAAAGTTTACAATTATCCCTTAATTAAGAGGTTAATATAATAAAGTATAATTAGTAGGAAGGAACTCTACGCGTATATTCTTAAGAGAGCCATTCTTAATAAGCGTTTAAACAGCTGCTTTATAGGCGCTAAAGCCGTTAATTAAGAGCAGTATCTTCCTGCCGTGTATCCTTTTATTAAACTAGGTAAGCTACTTAAGCATAATTACCGTTATTATCCAGGCCTTCTTATTATACCTCTATATAATATTTAGAGAGGCTATATTAATCCAATTGCTTATAAAGCAACGTAGCTTTAGTAATAAGCCAATTATAAGAAGAGGAAGCTTATCTAAGCTATCTACATTAAAACAATTTCCTAGAGAGATTCGTGCCTTTTACTTCTTTATTCCTAATAGAGCCTTAATAGCTAATATAGTATCTAGTATAGCCTTTCAAAATAGCCCTGTCTTATCCATATTATAGATATCCTTTAGTAAATAAGGCGCGATAATTGCTTAAAGCTCTACTATACGATCTTCTACTCCCTCTATATTGGCTAAGGCAGCCTTACTATACTACTTCCTCTTGTAAATACCGTTATAAGATTTAAAGCCTTTTAACTAGCCAAGCAACCACTTTGGCTTAATTATTATCGCCAGTATAGGTATTTATTACTATAATTAAGTGGCGGCAGCACGTATAAGGTCGCCAGTAATAGGAATATAAGAGTTCTGCAGGCGCTGGTACTACTTAAAGAGAGCCTCCTCTAGAAGAGGATGCTTGGCAGCTCTCTTTCGTTCTCACGTACTTTACCCACGTTATAATTTAGCTTAATTAAGCTATTGGAATTTATCGCTTAGTATTTCTAATATTAAGGATTAATTAATATTGTAACGGAGGAAGTTGCTTACCCAGCAAGTAACCTCCAATTATAGTAGACCGGGGTATTTTTAGTAGTAGGTACGTATTTTCTGGCGCTTATAATTGGTGAAGCCGTAACAGCGTTGCCTTATAGGATTTTAATATCTTACTATAATAAATAAGATAGAATTAGGTATAGAGAGTAAGATCTAAGGGTAATTTTAATAGATTTTAATTGTTATATAATGGATTTAATGGCTAAACTTATGGTAAGCAATGGCTGAATCTAACGAATTAAAATCTGCTTATACCGATATTGGTAGTAGGTGCTTAACAATATTGTCAAAAGTTAGATTATCGTAATATTACACCAAAAAAGGCTTAATTAAGGGGTGTAGATTGTAATATAGATGATATCGTTATATACCCTATATCGTACTAAGGAGGTTTTACTATACTCCGTACGTTAGCCTAAATCGCGAAGACCTGGCCAAAAAGAGTTAGCGAACATGGCCTGAATTAGAACCCGGCGATTAATTGTATGTCTGCTTTGCCTAAGGCGAATACCAGAAGGGACGTTAGGTCTGCTCCTATTAACGCTCGTGCATAAGTTATAAGGTCCTAAAGGGATTGTGTATTGATTATTGTATTATAGTAATTTCAGTCCTAGTTTTTACCTTTACTCTGTATTCAGAATAACCTGTATTTTATTAGCTTGGCGATGCATGATAAAAATTGCCTCGTAGACGCTGGGCACTGGGTGGATTATGTATGATTCAAGCTTGTTGAAGCTTATTCGGCGGCAGAGAGAGCTGTGTTAGTACTGGTATATGAGCAAGAAACAGGTGAAGGCATTCAAATACGCAAACTTGGATGTTTCATTTTTCACCTGAGTCTCGGTAGCGGTAGACTAGCGGGACTGTAAGCAGGCCAGCTAACACTAAACGATAGACGAGACAGATCACGATAATGCAATGATTTCATAACATTGTCTATAACCGCCGGGATCGATAGCTACATGTAATTAAGAACAATCTTCCGTGTACTTGTGCTTTTTTTGTCTCTTTCCGTCCCCTCGTTCAAAGGTGGTACTGACCCATCTTCGTGGAAGATGGCTTGATTGTGCCATACTTCCTCCCTCCAATAAGTCAACAAAAGTATTCGTATGGAAGACTCCTTTTGGGCCTCTATTTTGTATCCAACCGGCGAATGGCGTCCCAGTTTCTGATGTTCCTTCTACAAATATGGAGAGACGGCCTGCTGGGTCCTTCTCCGTGGCCTTTGGACAATAGACGGTTAGAGCGCTGCCGTTACGCTGAAACTCGTCCACTGTTAAAAGCTCAGCACGCATTTGAACAGGTGCATTTTTCTCGAGATGCACCCATTTTCGGCTGATACCAAACTTGAAGTGGTTTATGAAAAGTTCTTGATAGAAACCGTTTGGTCGAGGTTTTACATAAACACGTCGCTCAATTCCTTCCAAGATCTGAGCAAGATTCATGATGCTGGCCTTATACCTCATGATAACTGTTGATCGTATAACACCTTCATAGTAGTCTCGATGGGCGGCATTTGGTGAAAATTTTAGTTCGTAAAACCGCCTTCTCATAGAGTTATAGTACTCCCGTACGACCGGATTGGATGTATGATAGTCCCAAGGATCGTGTAGCTCAGGTGCTTTGCTCGGTGAGGTCTGAAGAATGGGTAGGGCGACGTTGAGATGCCTTCCGGCGTAGGGTGCTAACATTTCCGAAGGTAGATACTTTGCGAGCGCGTTCTTGCTGAGAGTTTGTAACATGAGACTGGCCCACATTTCAAGAAGATTGAGGAGAAGAGGGTTTTCTGCGTCTGTCAAGGCCAGAACCACAAACTCTTCGTTGACGTCGAAGTTGTCCCAAACGTAGTAATGCAAGGATGGGTGGTTGGTCCGGTATTTTCTGTCTCGATGATTGTCGAATCGAAGTTGCATGTTCGAGCTCTGTCCAACGTAGAGATAAAAGTCGCTAGGATCCGATTTGAGCCAGAGAATGTGCGCGTATATCCCAGCTTGCGGCTCATCGTCTCGTAGCGCATCGCCCCTAATCGTGAGGAGACTATAACTTGTTAGTAAATATTACTATTTGGTTTATTAGCTGGTCAACTACTTCTCTCTCGAGTAATCGCTAGATAATAGTACGTCTCGTGCTGCTGGTCGAAGCGGGTCCAGAAAAGTCTGCTCAGTCCGCCCAAGTACTTGAAGTTGTTGAATGTAGCTACCGTATCTCAAGGAATGGTATTCCCTTACAGATTCGAGCATTAAATCCAGAACCTTGTTTGGGCTGGGGTGAACGAAGTCGAGCCCTTCCGAAGACGTGTAGGTGCTAATTAGGCGATCGGAGTATCGGGCCTTGCTTGGCTGAGAAGTTTTGACTCTGGTTAGTCTGCTTGTAGACGAACAAACTTCTTGGTATGGGATCCATGTGCTAACATCACTAACGTCTCCGTCGTCAGTGCTTTCATAGCTGTCCTCTTCACTAGAAGAATCAGAACGGACCCCTATGCCAAACCTTGACCGATACTCAGACGGGCTTCCATTGCCGGTAACGTCACGGTTGTTTCCAATGATGATTATAGGGCCATCCAATGTTCCAGTGATGCTGTAGAAGCCGGGTTTTGATGCAACCATCTGATAGTATCGTACTGGTGACGAGGGCTCGTTATCTTCAACTTCATTTTCCGAATGGCAAGGGGACCAGCGCAAACCAGGAGCGAGTTCTGGCAGATTGGAGTCAAGATCTAATAATGAAGACGGTTAGTAAGTTGAGGAAATAATTGGGTAGGGATCCCCAACACCGGTTTGATCTAGAGGAATACTCATCTTATCTTCTTGATGACTTCCCCGTGGCGTATTGCAGACTGAGACAGAATCTCAGTGGTTAGACGCTCCTGCACGGACCACTAGCATGGCCCTATGTAAGGTGGAGTAGGAGGTATAACGGGGCAGAGAGTATTAATTGATAGCAAGGCTAATACTTAGAGAAGAAAGGAGGAGAATCTAACAAAGGGAAGAGTTTCCGAGGCAATCGTGTGCCTAGCCGGCTTTACCCCGGCTTTTAGGTGAGCAGTGCCTGGGATCTCAGGCGTTACAGCCTGACGCCAAGCCCTCTTACACCCTAATAAAAAGTCCGTTTCCTAGGAGCGCCTAAAAGCTGAATTATAATTTATATATTAGTTCAATTTCGAGTACAGTATGAGCTGCTCGAATGGCCAAGCTGGTAAGGTGTTGCACTAGTACTAGTACTAGTAATGCAAAGATCCACGGTTCAAGTCCGTGTTCGAGCAAGTGTTCAAGCGTTTCTTTTTACGTCCGAACATATTATGTTGGTAGGGGGGACTTGGGCAGTCTCTTTAAGCCGCGACGTATTATTGACCCGGGGTAACGTGCCTCCCTCCCCAGCGAGACACCCCCCCAAGCGAGACAATTTTTAACACGTTTTCTCGATTTTAGTAGCAATAAGATAGCTTTTTCTGAAATTTAAAAATTTAATATAAAGCAAGTATACTCTAAAAAAGCCTCCTAAAAAGTATATGTCTGTACGAGTAGAGGTTACGTGGTCATGTCTCTGATTAGTCATCCTTACGGTGACTCATCAGCCCCCTATTTAGGCACCGCGATCCTTACGATCCTCTGAAGAAAAAACACGAATGAATCAAAGAACCTGTTACCTTATATTGCAATTGCAGTACCCCCCCGGGTGATACCGACAGTATATAAAAAAATTTGAAGGAATAAAATTTTATTAAAGATTTTTAGTTTCTTTAGTTTAGCGTGAAGATCGCAGCACGCTAGGTGGATCCTTATCACTAATAAACCAGGCTTTCCCAACCTTTTTTTTTAATTAGAGTATATTTTTATCTTCCTTCCTACTTAATAAAGTAAAAATTTAAATATATAGTTCGTTTTTAAGATATACTCTATTTTAGAAATAGATTTAATATAATATTATTTTAATAAGCGTGGCTTAGAATCAGGTAATTAAGGTGTCTCGCTAGGGGGGATGTCTCGCTTGGGGGGGTTTTACGTTAAGTGGTCTATATATTCGGGTCCTGGATTTCAAACCCCAGCCAAGCCAGCTTCTGATTGGTTAGAAAAACACGCGCGCGGTAAGTTGTGGCAGAACCCACGTGACGAATTAAAATATCCTAGTATTACCTTCCTTTTTATTGACACCTCTATTAATACTACTATATATATTGTAAGGGCTTTATGAAATCGGCCTCTGCACCTCCACGCGGTGGAGCCCGGGAACCTGGCAGTACTATTGATGTTCCGTTAGGATCGTGTCAATAGACTACCAGAGCAAACGCAGAGACGTTCGTACGGCTGCGTACCGCTGGCGCTGCGACGGGTGATCGCGAAGAAAGAAGTTTTTTTTGGGAGGGTGAGCCCTAACAAGGCCTTAGGAACACGACCAACTCGTCTTTACATACGGTTGACCTGCTTGAATTACGGCATCTAAATTGGCGTCCTCCTTCTACATAGTATGGTACGCCATGCTGCATGACCCTACATAGTATATACGTACGCCTTGCAGGCTGAAGCCCGCGATGAGCCTCTTTATCTACCCACCTTCCGAAAGCCTCTCGTCTATTGCCTTTTAAGGCCTCTTATCTACCCGCCTTTATTATTACCTAATAGCTTGGACCTGCCGCACGCGGTATATGTCCTCCTTTGTGTTATAAAGGACCTAGGTTGGGGCTCTAGGAAAAGACACCTAGCACTAATTACTATCCCGTTGTTTTGGTTTTAAAAGAAGGTTATATAGGACTAGATATAAATGCATTATATAGGAGGGCAGTGGATTATACTAGAAGGTATAATAATAAGATTGGATTATGCTGTAAGTAGGGAAGTTGTAAGTAGCATATATGTATGCATATAGGGCGGAGTAGGGGAAGGGTAGGTATATAATTCCACATAGGCAATAATAGATAGGGAAAGTGGTTTAAAAGGCAGATAGGGCAAGATAGGCATTTAAGACACCTTCCTTAGGGGTCTCTAAGCAGTAACCTAACGGTGTTTTTCCCCCCGTTAATATAGTACGAATGCTATCTGGAAGTATTACCTCTTACGTTTCCCTCGGGGGTTTTTTATTCACCTAAAAAATAGGTTTTTCTTAGTGTGTATATTGAGTTTTTACCATAGGAATTAGTCTGCGTGGACCCATTAGGGGGACCGGGTCGGACGGTAAATTGAATTTATTATTATATATATTGTAAATATAGCAGATCCTACTATAATTGAGTGTAGCAAGTGCTATATCCATAAGCCCCGCCTTAACTTTGTTAAAAACGGCCCTTTAAAGAAGATTTTAAAGCTGTGCTAGTTATATCGGTTAAAGGCGCGTCTTCCCTATATATTACTTCTACTTTTACTTACTTTTTTAGGCCTTTAAATATAATTTAAATAAGCGGAGAGCTCTTATAGAGTTAGGTTCTACTACCAAGAATCGTCCTGTAAGGCGCTAGCAAACTACTCTACCTAAAAACGATACCGAGAACGCCTTTCTGCCTTACGGCCAGAACAGTTAAGATACGCCTAAAATTGCTTAACGGCGGAAGATAATTAGGGTAATGTAATGGGAGCACCGCATTCTTAATTGGCGGGGTAAAGCTTACTCGCCTACTCCTCCGCTATATACCACAGATAAAGCTCCGTGCAGTAAAAGAGGCACTCTAGATGGCCTAAATGCGTCCTTGCTGGAACTAGCTCCTATGCCTACTCTACCGCCAATACCTACCCTACTGCCGATACCACCTTCCTTGCGGTAAGCTCCCTTGCGGTAAGCTCCCTTACGGCAAGCTCCCTCGCGGCAAGTTCCCTCTCGGCAAGCTCCGACTACGGCTACACCACTACCCGTTTCGGCTGTCGATTAGGAGCGAATTAAGAAGTTTAGGAGTATACTATAGGCTAAATATATAAAGACGTGTAGTTGTTATAAGAAGCGGTAGTTCTAAATGGGCCTAGTTACGAAGAGTAATAATATAGGTATATGTAAAGCCTGCATTAAGGACGCTAATAGCCTTAAAGATTTAACCCTTTCTCCCTTATTTAGTAAAAGTAGCGGGCTTAACCTAGGGCCTATTCCTGGCTTCCTACCTATACTTACCGCGGTAGAGGAGCTTCTAATTGCGCGCGTATACGTTTATCTATAAATTATGCGTATATGCGGCTAGTAATATTACTATACTAGCTATATTTACTGCTTTAGCTAAAATATACTAAAGACTTAAAAGTAGTTATTATGGCTACCTACTAAACTTAATATACTGGTCGTAAGGCCTATTATAAGCTTTTGCAGTATATGGGAATTAAACAAGCAACTTAATTGTAAATCTATGGAAATCAAGTAATATAAATATATAAAAGTAAACCCCTAACTCCAAAGCCTATAAGTTATATTAAACGTATCCGAGATATACGAGGGTAGTACTAATGTAAGTGAAATAGGGTAATATGTAAGGTCTGGTAGTCGGTTACACCTATAGTAGTAGAGGGTAGCAAATACCTAAGTTAGCTATTTACTAAGTGGTATACTATAAGGCGCTCTATTATAGTATAGTAGCTTTACTTTCTAACGGTTAATTATCCTAATTATCGCGATATTAAAATATATAGCACTTAGCTTACTAGCTTACCCAAAAATAGCTCTATATTAGATTAGCTACCTTATATTAATAAGTTAAAGTCTAATTCTAGTAGCTTAACGGCTTACCCTACTACTCCTATACAACGTCCTCCTATTATTAATCCTTTACTTACTAAACTTAGCAGTAATATACTAGATGGCGAATTTAATAATAATATACTAGATACTTTAGTTCCCAATCTAGTACTTAACCTTAATAAATTAGAGCTTTTAGGTTGCAAGGTTTAATACTAATAAGACCTATAAGTAGGCCTAGAGGTTTCTACTATATAATAGATACCTCTCTCTAAGCAATTAGCTAGTTTTATCCTACGCGGCACCTTTTTTACTCTATTTCCTTATAGTAAAGCTAATTTTAATATGCCACAAAGCTATATAGTTACCCTAGCTATATACGCTAAGTATATACTTAAGTATTAGGACAGTTGGTTTAGCCGCTACCTCTTATTTTACTACTATATATTTAATCGGATTATAAAAGAGTAAGCCTTTAACGCTACCCGCTTTCTTTACGGCCAATTAAATAAAAAAAGTCTATTTTTAAATAAGCTTAGTAATTTTATAAATAGTAATAGGGTAGCTAGTTATTAAATAAGATTATACGGTATATACGGAACCTTAAGGGTACTAGATTTTACTAGAGGTAGAAGAGAAATAAGCTTATAGCTTACGCTAAGAATATTAAAAACAGGTCTCTATTCTTTATACTTAGTGCTATTAATCTATATTAGTATAACCTACACTCTTATATACCTCTATTTAATAAATATAAGGCTACTAATAAGGATTAGCGCTACTAGATTACTTTAAAAAAATTTAATAATAATCTATATATTGCTGCTTACTAGTTATATCGCCGCTTTAATTTATTTAGAAAGCACGTACTTATTATAACAGTGCTAGAGCGCGTTACCTACTAGGTTCTGCTATATTCTACTACCTGTTATATTATTATATACTACCTGTTATATTATTATATACTACCTGTTATATTATTATATACTATCTAGTACTATTTCTTACTATTAGCTCGCCTACTATTAGCTCGTCTACTACTAGCGCCTTAGCGGCTCGCGCTACCTATTTATTGACGCCAGCCCTTACGACCCCCTTTCCTTCTCCTTAGCTTAGTATCTTTATTAGATAGCAATCTATAAGCTTTAGTTTAGAGGCATTTATACGAGCCGTTACATTATACTAAGCTCTCCCTATATTGCCTGGGAAGGCCTTAATAATATCCCACCCTAGAAGAAGACCTTTATCTACAATAACGCGTTAACGCGTTATACTTAAACACTAAAGTTACTCTATATTGCCTAGGAAGGCCTTAATAATATCCCACTTTATAAGCTAGATAGGACTAGACCTATATCCCTAAAATTAAAACCGAAGTATATAATACTTAAGGGCCTATATATAGGGGTTACTATATATAGGCTAAGCATTTACTAAACCTATAGCAGGACTAGCCGTATAGCTAGCTACTAAATTAGCGGTAGGCTATATAGGTAGTGCTATAGGGGTTACTAATTGTGCTAGGGTATTATAGGCCGTTCTTATATTGCTTATAATCTAATTTAAAGGGTTTTTAGCTTTATACCGTTTAGCACATATCTTAATTTAGCGGAGGCC